CGAGGTGATGGGTCAGCAACTGGTGGTCAACCGTATCAAATGCGGCCGACAGATCTAACAGCAACAGTGCTGCCACACCGCCTCGATCCAGGTGCCTTCGTGTTCGTCCGTAAGAGCGACCAGCACTGTCTCCGTCCCATGTCCCAGGCGGAAACCAGACTGGAAAGGATCTAGGATGGAAGCGTCATCCAGAAAGCTCTGTAGCTGTAGTGCCACCGCCATCTCAATAAGTTTGCCCAAATAGGGCAAATTGGACACCGTCCGATAGTTGGCCAATTCAGCCGGGTCCAGAGAAGATTTTTTTCAGGAGAGGGCGAACCATCGCTTCCTTGAGTGCCCCTGGGAACCGTCCCTCAGAGAGGGACCCCCATTTGCTTAACCCTAAGCCCTAAAAGCCTTAAGTCCTACATGGATAGCCATTATAATATTTCCAAAAGATATTCGTCTTGGATTTTCGTAAGAGTTCAAGAGACCATAACTAGGGAGCAGCCACTAGAGATTCCTCTGTTTGCACCCTTGTAGTTTAAATATGAAGCACTCATCCAGTCACTTTCTCCCAAGAAGGAAACACACTGGAAGCCGGGTGCTAGTTGGGTAGGAAGCCTACTTTTGGGTTAGATCATTTGTGTTTTGTTCAAAAGCAGAACTGTAGATTTGTAGCCACCTAGCACTCCCCGGACTCTGGAATGAAAGTTTAGTAGCCTGTGCCAGCCACAGATTCTTGTGTTTCTTCAGAACCTCTTTCATGTGATTACATCAATCTGATGTATTAAAGAGTTCAGGGAAAAAATGGGGCTTGATATACCATTCTGCAGAGCTGATTGTTTTGGATTTTGTTTTCAAGATGCTGGATACCATTCAAGGTTATTATTACAGCATATTTCAATATTTTGGAGAGCCAGTGGAAGGGTTTGAGTGAACTCCTGCTTACTTTGGACCATGAAATGGAAAATTGCTCAACAATCACATTTCTTCCGTTATTCTCCCTTTTGTCATTGAAGACAACATAGCAGCAGTTCATGTGAACAGAAGGAAACCAGCAGAAGAACTGGGAAAGCAATAGTGCTGAAAGACTGGGATCTTTCCATTCTGTAGGTAGAGAACACCTTCCCTTGGTGATAAACTAGATTTGGCAGTAGAATTCCTATGTCTACTGCTCCTCAATCACATAGAAAGAGTTGGGGATCCAATTTTAATAACTAAGAGGATATACATCTATAGCCATTCTCCCAAAGAAGTGTAAGGTGAATGGTTGTAGGAGTTCTATGTTAATTTCCTCACACAGCTGACAGTATAACCACAGTTCTTTCAAGATTTACTCCAGTCAGTTGCAAGTGCTGTTTGCCAATAACCAGGGGTCATTTCGTAGAAAAAGAGCTAGAGGAACTCATTAGCATAACTCATTAGCATATGCCACACCCCCTGACATCAGGGGCCCGGCGAACACCTTCCCTTGGTGATAAACTAGATTTGGCAGTAGAATTCCTATGTCTACTGCTCCTCAATCACATAGAAAGAGTTGGGGATCCAATTTTAATAACTAAGAGGATATACATCTATAGCCATTCTCCCAAAGAAGTGTAAGGTGAATGGTTGTAGGAGTTCTATGTTAATTTCCTCACACAGCTGACAGTATAACCACAGTTCTTTCAAGATTTACTCCAGTCAGTTGCAAGTGCCGTTTGCCAATAACCATTATATGTCCTTGCCTACCACAGATAGAATGAGAGAATTTGAAAAAGAAATAATAAGAAAAGGAAGGAGCATTTTGAACAGTGGAGAGAGAGAGGGTGATTCCGCACTAGACCTTAAATCCTGGTTCATCCCTGTCTCCAAAGTTACATTCTACACTACACTCAAGTTCACCCCTGTAATGATCTTGGGGTATTTTTTGTTTCCACATTACATTGAGGCCACCCCAGTTTTGTCCCACACTTGTCCCAGGATAAACAGATGTTATAACCAGGGATAAATGCAAGGTATTGTGTCATGCGTTGAACTCTGATATATTGTGTCATGCGTTGAACTCTGATAAGACCAGGGATGAGATCCAAGTGCGGAAAGGACGAGAGAGAGAGTTTAGACAAAGACTGGCACTGCAATCTCATGCAGAGTTATTCTAATCTAAGCCTGTGGAAACTGGACAAACTGGAGTAACTTTGCATAGGACTGTACTGTAAGAGACTCTTTGGGATGCTTTTAATTATAATAATGGAAAACAGAGAAATCTTGGATGAGAGACTGGGTGGATTTGCTAAGAGCAAGACCCCATGTGAAACTTCCATTGCAACACTGATGTCTTATGGTATCTATCAGATGCTGGAGTGCATTCCAAGATTGTTTGTGCAAATGATTTCTGAAAGGGGTATCCCTGATTAAACTTATTTTTTAACAAAGTTTTATTTATTTATTACTGTTTTGGCAGCTGTAGTAGTGTTATTAATAACCGTTATTATGGAAGTAAGCAGGAAATAGTTTTTCAGAAGCAACATTGTAGAGCTGTGTGTCAAAGGACATGTTACTCACTGTCCTCTTTTGGTGTCTGCCATTTTTTGGTCCTGGCACTCTACTGGAATCTTTCCAGGTTCTCAGGCTTCCCCAATGCATCAAACTTTACACTGGAAGACCTGACACAACTTTCCAGATTCATGGTCAGCACTGCTGCCATAGAAATATTTAGAATCTTATAGGACTATCCTGGATCGCCCCATGACACTACCTTGTCACCACTTCTATTGCTGGAACACTTCTGGATCTCTTCTTAAAGCCATGATATCTACCTCATAATATAGGTTGGTTTTGTACTGGCTGTTCCCTGATGCTTTGGTCTTATCGGTCATTCCCATACCTGAGGCTGAGAAAAAGACTGGCAGCAGCTGAATCTAAAGAGTGCTGTGCTTTATTTACTTTATTCATGTACTCATTTTTGTGTCAGATATGTATTTCAGCTTTCTTCCAAGGAGCTCAGGTCTCTCTACTTTCCTACTCATGACAGTTTGCTTTTTTAACAGAGCATTACCTGCTGTAAGACGGACTCCCACCATGCTATGTCATCCTTTGAAGCTGGTAATTTTCCTACTCCTGTCCCTCACAGGTAAGCAAATAGGCGGAATTGGGGGTGGGGGGATAAAGCAAGTGTAAATGTGAATTGCTCATAGCGCACAGTATGGCTGAAAAGAAGAAGACACAGATGGGCTAATTCTCATGCTGAGGCAATAACATCCACTCCATGTCAAATAAATGCATAGGCACCAATATTTCATATTTGTTTCTATATGGCAATCCTATTTTGTTTCCTGTCGGGTAGGTCCACAGAGCTAAATGCAGCCCACTAGCTGTTTGTGGCAACCCACAGGGACTCAATTTGGATTGAGAATTGAGGCTTGAATCCAGACAAATCCACACTGATGTGCTAAGCACTACCAAGGACATAGTGGAAGTAGCCAATTTTGTCTTTTGGCAGCAGTCCTTCATATCACATGGAGTTCTGCTCTGTAGAGCTTCTAGCTTTTGGGGTGGGTTTTTGGAAGTCACAAAGAGCTGCAACCAGAAGGCAGAGATGTTCCACCAGGCTTTTGGTTGAGGCCAGCGACGGTTTCCTACATCTGCCCTGTACCCTTTCCCCTCCAAAAAATCTGAATGCTAGTCAGGCCATCTGTTATTGGAATGTTTAAAATGTGTGTTGTTTATTTAATATTGTCTGTTTATGGTTTTAATTGGTTTTATAATTATCTTGTTGCAAACTGCCCTGTTGGTTGGAATTATCTTGTTGCAAACTGCCCTGAGCCCCGCGTAGGCGGGGAAGGGCAGTTAAGAAACCCAATGAAATAAATAAATAAAGGGGAAAGCTAAACTGCTCCATTTTGGTCCCTTCTGCACTTGGATCTCATCCCTGGTTTTACCAGAGTTCAACTCGCGACACAGTACCTTGCATTTATCCCTGGTTATAAAAGCATCCATTTATCCTGGGACAAGTGTGGGGCAAAACCAGGGTGACTTCAATGTAATGTGGAAACAAAAAATACCCCGAGATAATTACAGGGGTGAACTGGAGTGTAGTGTAGAATGTAAGTTCGGGGACAGGGTTGAACCAGGATTTAAGGTCTAGTGCGGAATCACCCCAAGTGAGTATAACTAGCCTCATGCTGCTCTGGGTCAAAACCAAATGATCCCCTTCTTTCCCAGAGAGCTGAAGGCAGAGGACTTTGCAGTCATCTAATTTTTTGCCTCTGGCAAGCAAGTTTTGCAGGTTTATCTATTGTTTCAAAAACCTGCAATGCTCATTTTACCCGAAGCAGCAGTGGGACAAAAGAAAGATGTTGGCACACTAGGGTTTCTTGCTTTTTAGTAGGCCTTTAACAGCAGCTTAATATGGAGACATTGGTGGCGGAAAGTGCCATCAAGTCGCAGCCAGCTCATGATGACCCCTTAGGGTTATCAAGGCAAGAGACATTCAGATGTGGTTTGCCATTGCCTGTTTCTGTGTAGCAACACTAGACTTCATTGGTGGTCTCCCATCCAAGTACTAACCAGGGCCAACCCTTAGGCTTGCCAACCTCCAGGTGGTGGCTAGAAATCTCTCACTATTACAACTGATCTTCAGGCAATAGAGATTAGTTTACCAGGAGAAAATGGCTGCTTTGGAAGGTGGACTTTATGGGATTATACCCTATTGAAGTTCCTCCCCTCCCCAAACCCCACCTTCCTTAGCCTCCACCCCCCAAATCTCCAGGTATTGCCCAACCCTGAGCTGACAACCCTACAAACCCTGCTTAGCTTTCAAGATCTGATGAGGTCTGATGAGGCTAACCTGGACCATCCACGTCAAGACATAGAGACATTGCCTGGTATATAAATTTGTAGCAATGCCATGAAAACCTTCACCTGCCAATTTCTGCCTGTCAAGATGCTGTTAATCGTGCAAGAGCAAGCCAGGTAATTTTCCTGGTCAGCCAGACAACTGTTGTGTAGTTCATGAGAAGCAAAGCCTTTGTCAAACCATTTGCACCTTCTTGAAAGCTATTGTCTGTCTCTCAGATCAGCTCCTGCTTTGGTGCTCTTGTAGGACTGCCAAAACCCTGGATTGGAAAGGGTTCTCAAGCACCTGGCAGGCCCAAAAACATGGTGCTTGGCTGTTTGTTTATCATCATGCGTTTTATTGTACAGATGTTCTTTAATATGTATGTTTTGTTATATAGATCAGAGATTTCTGGCAGCTATAATATAGTCTATCAGACATCCTTCAGGCAATGGATGGGTAAAGAAGTAGTGTTTTTTTCACTAAGTAAATCAACATGAACACCTCTGGTTTCTTTAAGACCTGAGAGCAGTGCCAGGGTTGTTTCCAAAGTGGCCAATCCCAACTCTTAATATTCAAAGAGCTATATTATTAACTCTCAGTATCCTGTTTAGTTCCTGCTATAATTACAGCTTTTAATTTTGCAGATGTCCTGTACATCTTGTTGCTTTTGTGTTTGTGGAAAACATTTTCCAGACAAGTACAAATTCTGTTTAGATGTGGGCAAAATATTTTAAAAGCAAACCAGAGTATTTTTTTTAAACATGCACAGACAAATCTTGTTTCTTTATTCAGTCATGCAATTGGAAGCTCAGATGAATGGAGCAGCAGCCTGAAGGAGTTTTCCAGTCTTTGTACTGCCAAGCTACAAGTTGTCAATTTCTAAACTGAAGCATTTTGGCTTCCCAAATTGCTCTCATGGTTCATTGTGCTATGAAATAAGAAGCTGCTGGCTAGCTGGAAGTGGCACTATTTTTTATTCTGTACCTATATGTTGCAGGACAGTTAAGCCAATGGTAGAACTATGGCTCAGTGGCAGGGTATCATCTTTGTGTGCAAGCGTTCAATCCCCATCTCGTTTAAAAGGATTGGGTAGTAGGTGATGTGAGAAAAGCAGACTCGAGACCCAGGCAAACTGCTGCCAATCATAGTGGTCAATACTGACCTTGATGGTAACTATAATAGGGTCTCAGAAAGTAATGCAGGAAGGTACCCTGGCATAAGAAAGCAGCAATAATGATGGGATAATTAAATTGCCCCTTTGCTCATTTACTGTTTACATCACGCAATCATAAATGAGAAACCCCAGGTGTCCTTTCTACAAGCCCTATCTAAGACGGAGAGGCCCAGGGATTGTGTGCTTGTTTGAGCACCTCCTTCTTTCACACTAAAACCTATATTAATGTCAGTTTTCTCAACAGAAAAAATAGGTATATATACAGTATTTTCAACAAACCATTCATATTTGACATCAGAATTTAATGCAGCAGTATTTTAAGATTTTATACACCAAAAACTAAAAAACTACCAGATTAGCTTGTAAAGTACAGCATTTCTGCTGCCTGTGGGATTTGCTTTTCTCCTTTCGTTGACTAATATAGACATCAAAGTTAAAGTATATGTGTACACCATAATGATGTGCTGTATGTTATATCTTGTTTTCCCCACATTTCTTTGGGGGAAATAAGCTATGAGATCATCAGAATAAATCTCTGTCACAAAGACCCATTCTTTACCTTTTATGGTTGCTAAAGAGATAATGATGATGATGATGATGATGATGATGATGATGATGATGATGATGATGATGATGATACTTTCAATTTATTAATCGCTTTCCCCAGTGGGCTCAAAGCGATGTACAGTTACACATTAGACAGGGGACTAACAATGTTCATAGGGGATAGGGAGGACAACATATATTCATTAACAGTAATACAGTATACATAAAACATCATTGATTTCATTTCATCTCCTGTGTGCATCACTGTAAACTCTGTCATTGATATTTGTAATTTATATGGGTTTTGTTTCCCTTTCGTAACTTGCTTTTCTTTTTAAAGTATATTATTTCAATTTACAAACGTAAAATATAAACTATAATTATATACAAATTCATTCTTAAATTTACATTTAATTTCACTTCTATTTAAATATCTTTATTCTATATTTTCCATCTATCTTCGCAGCTAATAACATTTTTATTATAAACATGTATTACATAAAGTGTTTCATTCTATCTTTCTCTATCTTAATTTAATTTTGTTCTTGATTTTCAGCTATATAATTGAAAAAACCTTCCAATTTTTCTTGGAAAAATAACTTGCTTTTCCAAATAATTTCTTCAAGGATTGTCAGACATCAGCTCTCTGGAGATGTACCCCAGTGACCCAGAAGTCATCCTCACCCTTTCAAGAAATTTTTCCCTGACGTGCTCAGGGCAGAATGAGGTAATCTGGAAAAAAGATAAACATACCATAGATGCTGTGCTGGAGAAAAGAGGTGGCATTTTTGTTAGCATCCTCACACTCTGGAATGTGACTGGCGTCAATACGGGGGAGTATTCCTGTGTCTACAATCAAACTTCCAAACAAGTGCAAACAGAAGGGAAATCCATCTACATCTTTGTACCAGGTACTGGTGCCTACCCTGCCCCCCCCCTTTTCTTTTGGTAGCTTGTGTTTAGGCTGGAGAATTTAGAATAAAGATGTAACTGGCTAAGTGATCCAGACTTTGAGAGTTTGAATATTACATTCATTCATTCATTCATTCAATGTATTTTATAGTCTGCCTTTCTAAGCTTGAGGCTCAAGATGTTTAACAAAATTTAAAACAATGTATCAGGAACAGTATAAGACATATAATAAACACTGTAATGGCTCTGGATCACAAAGTCAGAAAACAGTGCAATGAAAGCAGTATAAGGCATGGCCAATGCTCCCTCTACGCTGTGGAGTCTCGTGAGCAAAAAGTCTACTTTGTGAGCTACTGGCATTAAAGTTGTAAGTGAGCAATTTAGCTACTGCATAAATTAGTTTGCTCTGGAGCCATCCTTCCTGAGCTAAGACAAAAATGTGTGTGCTGGAGGCTAAAAAATTGTGATTTAGCTCACATTAACCGAGCTTAGCTTTGATAATTATTGAAGATAGAAAGACATTTAGAGTAAGTTTAAACATATAAGAACAATAGATAAAAGATATGTTACCTGAAGAATTTTATTATTGAAGAATGGAAAAAAGAGAAAAAATATAACAATTGTACTGGAGGTTGGAGCACTGCGGGAAGTCAGAAGGGGGGGATACTAGGAGAAAAGGGTATAAGATAGTTGGGATGTGATGTATAGCTTTACTTATTGGTATATCCTAATAAAATTGTTTTTTTTAAAAAAAACACCAAAACCTTAGCCTTTTCAGCATCACCTCTATCTATTCGGGATCCAGTTTCAGCTTATTCACTTCTAACTATTTAAGTACAGAAGCCAGGCACTGGCTTTATAGGATAAATTTACATATTCTCTTGGTTATGCCACATTATTGTTATAACAGGAATCCTTTTATGGTTACAATTACACATATTAGAAGCCTACAAACCACATGATGGGAGCATCTGCCATCTGCAACCCTCCTGATATTTGTGATTGCTGTATTGTGTGAAAGGGGCAACACTACTATGTTCACATGTATTGCAATTGCACACACATGGCTAATACATGCACTGCTTCTAGTCACACAACATGGTGACTGTGTATGAGAAGGATTACGGAATGTGCATGCTCCCCTTATTACAGCAGGCCAACAGCACATGTGGACATAACATTTGAAAATGACTGTATAATATATTCAGTATAACTCCAAGAGAGAGAAAGAATTCTGCCATACTTTGTCCAAGCCATAGAGAAAATTTTACTATAGGCTGGTTCTAGCACTCAGTCAGTGGAAGGTGATGATGGTCACAGATCCCCTTTCAACCCTGGAAAACTAGATTCCCATTACAGTACAATGTGTCTTAATAGCCAAATGTGCGGGGGCTGCAGTGTGGAAGGACAAAATCACCTTTTCCACAGTTCAAGGCAACCCAAGTACCAGCACAGCTCTTAGTCCATGTGGCTGTGCTGGCATTATGTACCAATTTTGTGCCTGACCACTTTCACCCATGTTTTAATTTCATTTTGTCTATAACTAGGCAAATGTTAAAAGAATTGCTGGAAGAATATAGATGGTTTGCAGCTATTTTTACAGATATCCTAATCAGAAGTGAAATATTTTTTTAACCCTTGCTAATGGATCTCATTTTTGTTATTTCACAATTAACTGTTTTCTCTGCACCCTTTTGCTCTTACAGACCCATCTTTGCCCTTCCTTCCTAGCAGTCCAGAGGACATGTTTGTTTTCAGCACTGGCCACACTGAGGACATTATCCCCTGCCGTGTCACAGATCCCAACACTACGGTGACCCTTTATGAAAGAAGGACTGAGAACCCAATTTTTGCCACTTATAACAATAAGCAAGGCTTTAAGGGGTACTTTGAAGACAAGACCTTTGTCTGCAGGGCAACAGTGGATGACCAAGACATTGATTCTGAAGCATACTATGTCTACAGGATCCAAGGTGAGCCCTTTTCCAGTTTGCTCCTGCAGGTATGCAGAAGTTTACATTTCAAACACTGGAGTTTTCTTGTCACAGGCTCAAAATTGTGGTTGCGAAGCATGTTCAGCTCACAGGCAAAAAATAAAATAAATAAATTTAGTTTTTGTAATTTAGAAGAGATAGCCTTTTTAGTCATTTTTTTAATATGAACATTATCACTTGGTTACTCTATTTTCTTATTACTTCATTGCGCTTTTTATATGTGCAAGATCATAATGGCCATTCATACCCCATCTCCTGTGTCACCTTGGGAGCAGCAGCAGTGCTATATATCCACCCACTTATTAGTTACCATAATAACCCTTTTCAGGATCCTATACTTTCCCCAGTAGCAGACAGAGGACGTGTTCGTATATTGGTATGGGGATAATTGACTGTCCCTTCCCCCAGCATGTATATTACACCAAGAATATGAACAGAGGATACTCTTCTTTGGTGTGATAAATACTCTTGTGTTACATGAAACTGACTTGCTTAGCTTGAATCATAAAAGTAGTAGGTATTGAGCCACCAATTTTCCTGACCAAGGGGTGCTACTTTTGTTCATTCAGTCTTTTGTTTTTTTCCTAAGGGATCCATTTAATGTGGTGATATAGGTGACTTTGATTTATATGATTCCTCCCTGTGTTCTTTTTCTCCCTGGCATGTTTAGACAAGGGACAGGAAAGTAAGCTGTGTAAGGGTGGCACTTATTGTACATATAAGCTCACAACAGAATTTCTAGAGGTTTACATTTGTTGTTTTGTGGTCCTTTTCAGTTCTCATTTTCCTTACTTTATTCTTCAAGGGAAAGTACATAGAGGCTGCGGTCACACGGAGCATTAGGCACGCTAGAGGGACGGAAGATAGGCGGATTTTCCGGGCGCGATCTCACCGCCACATCTGGGAAGCGTAGAGCTCCCGTGGCTCACCCGAGGCTTCCCGCCGAAGATGCGCGGTTAAAAACTAGTACCTCGGAGGTACTAGTTTCCAGTAACCGCGGGGCAAGGGTGGGCGTCTGATCACGTTTCCGGTGGTAGTTCCGGTGCCCGCCCATGCCCCCTCGTATAAAGGGGTTTTTTTCCCAACTGTCCATGGGATGCGCACAAACACCCAACGGGGCATGCACACACTTTGGTGTCCGGAAAAAAAACACCCGTTTGCCGCGCCGTGCTGCTTCTTTGCCGCGGCGCAGGATTGTGGTGTGCTCGGCACCTCCCCCCTACCATGGGACCTCCATGGTACGTCTGCTGGTGCAACCGCGCGTTATTGTGCCCTGGGGCAAACAGCCATGCTTCCCCCCCGCATTTTCCTGCCCGTGTGACCCAGGCCAGACTTGATTTGTTGGAGATAGGGTAGTATGAACCTATACATGGGGGGTTTGACTGTTTCTCCAAATTTCAGTCAGCTAAAATATGTCTGTTTTATGCCATTGTAATACTTGTTCTGTGCTTGTTATTTGTAGAATACAGGCTGTGGTCACACACACTAAATAATCCACTTTCAATCTACTTTCAGTACACTTTCCAAATGAATTTGGCCAGTTCACACAGTAAAATCCAGTTGAAAAGTGCACTGAAAGTGGATTGAAAGTGGATTATTTAGTGAGTGTGACTACAGCCACAGTGTTCCCCCCCCCCCAATTAATGCAGTGTATTCTGTTATGTATATTGTGTCAGCAAAGTGGCAACAAGAAAGTGTATGGAAGTCAAAAACTAAAACATCAGTTATGCAGTTGGAGCCAGACGAAATCTTCTACTACTGGAAGGGGTCTGATAATCTCCATCTATTCCTTCTTCATGCCGCAGACACCAATTTTCCAGTGGGTCCCCTGTTCCCCCGGAGCAGCATTTTGGAAATATCAGTGGGCTGCAGTGAGGGGACAGTAGGGTGTCCAACCTACTAGGTATCCTTAGGCAGTTATCTGATGCACCTTAGGTGGCACCAAAACCATGCAGCCCTGTGGCACCACCATGGCCCAGGCACCACCATGGCCCAGTTCAGCCAGTGGCTCTGGGTGCACCCCGACTACCCAGCCAGCCAGCCAGGTAGCTGGGTCTCACTTGGCCAACAAAGCTGTACAGCTTGGTAGGAGAAGGCAGGACTGCATCCAAACCTGGAAGTGATAGGCAATGCTCTAAGAACCCACCATATATCTGTGGTCTTTGCCATAGGATCTGTCAGGCTCTTAGAGTGTCATCTGGAAGTAGTTTCACTTCTGAATTTAGACGCACTCCCCCACACACATGCACACTATCTTTGACTGGGATGCTCAGCCTTGTGGAGCAAGTGAGCCCTAAGCCAGGTGAGCCAGGGGGGCATGTGGCCAGACTGGAGCTCCCAGGCTGAGCGAAGGCAGGGAGAGGCTGGCATAGGGCAAGGCAAGCTCTTGGGCTGATCTTGCAGGAATATTGTGTTCATAATTAAGGAAATGTTCATAACCCACTTCCTCAATAAAAAAAACCCCAATCACTAACAATCTCTTTAGTTTTCCTGGCTAGAAATAATCTTTTACCAATCTAAGAAACAGCAATCTCTCTTTAAGTAGAGATTTTCTAACCAATTTCTGGCAAATTCTCCCAATTTTAGAATGTGGCTCCAATGATCTGGGCTCCTTCTTGATATATACAACAGAGTTTTGTTTACAATTTGATATTAGGGGAGAGCATAGTCCCAGCTCATGATGACCCAAATACCTGGTTTCTCTGCCAAGTCCTACAGGAACTTGTTTCAAAAGAAAAAGGCCATTCCTTTGCCACTTTTTGTTTGTTTTCATTGAGGCCTGCTTCAAAAAAAGAAAAAAGAATCAGTTCTGTGTTTTCATAGAAAAAGCAGGATTGTTCATTGCCAGCAGAAACACATACATTTTGACATAAACAGAAGAAGGGTAAACAATGACTGCAACCATCATGGGACTGATTCTAGACCCTAGCAACCCATTTCAAATCCCAGACCTGAAAAAATCGCTCAGCTTCTGATACACTGAAAATTGAACCCTCGATGCAGTGGGAAATCAGACAACTCCCTCACAGTGAAACGAGCAGCCAACTGTATTGCTTATTGAATTTGGTGCACTGCCTGGACTGATTTTTAGTCATGTGAATTGGTCTTCCTCTAGCTGCTGTAGCTTGGATTCCTTCCATGTTAATCTGAGTTTTTCTCCCCTCCAGTGCCTTCCTCTCCAACCTCTGTCATCAATGTTTCTATCAATGCTGTACAGACCATAGTGAAGCGGGGTGAAAATATCACTGTAATGTGTTCAGTGAAAAACATTGAACTGATAGATTACACTTGGAGGTATCCTGGCCAGATGGTAAGCAAACTTATGGGGTTTATGGCTTGTTTGTATGTTTTTGTAATTGTCTCATTACCTTCATACAGCAAGTACGATGGACAGTGAAGCACTCCTTGCCTGTACATGTGGGGGCAATTAGTTGTTATGTCAGTGACTATCTGAGAACAATGACAGGGCCATAGAGTCAAATGTAGACACATTCTCAGACAGACAGCATTGCTGTGTATGCTGCATGCTCCTGTCTTTTTAGTGACCATGCTGAGATGCCAGTATATAACCATTCTGCCATTCTTTGATTTTTTTTAAAAATTTGTCCCCAGGCCCCAAAAGAATGATGCCTGATACATTGTACGGGTTGAACCAGGGGTGGCTAAAAATATGTAGATGAGATTAACAGATTTATTACACCTGAAGAAAATCCTGTGCTGTTCAGTAGTGCTCATACTCAGTGTACTTTACTCACTTTCCTTTGCAGGTGGGCAAGGTGGTAAATCCTGTGACAGACATTCTGCCTGGGATCAGCCATTCTACTATTTCCATCCTAACAATCCACAATGCAGAGTTAGAAGATGAAGGGCTGTATATCTGTGAAGCCACTGAAACCTACCATGAGGAAAAAGAAACAAAAGAAATCTTTATCCAAGTGATTGGTGCGTTTGTCAAAAACTTCAGTTTGTCTCTAGACAAAGGCTTCCTAAAATATCAAGCTACAGTTATGCTGCCTACTTTTCAGGGTATTGAATCCAACAGGGCCAGCTGTTCTGGTATTTTGTTTTAATGTTGGTTGGTTGGTTGCCTGCTGTTATAAACCTAATTTTGAGCTTCTCTGATTTTATAGGCACCAGCACCATGTAGAGTGTCTCATGACAGTCTCAAAAGGACATTTTTAGGGGGTGGGAGTAGTATTATTCAAAATTCTAAATAATAGTTCTCCTAAATTGGAATATTCATGTTTGAATTTTTTTTTTCCTTTGACAGAACTAGGCCTGTCCATCATATTACTAAAATGGCTAATTGCAGAATCAGATCTCCGTGGCACCCTTCTTTTATGTCTTTCATCCATACAATTCAAATGCCTTCCCAACAGGAAGGGATAGTGACCCCGGTTAGAACCCTGTTTCAATATAATATTTCCATTCCTTCCTTTCTTATACAGAGCATGGATTTGTGACCTTCCACACTATTCTGAATGACACAGTGTTTGCTGAGCTGCATAAAAGTTGCACTTTCCATGTGCAGATTGAAGCCTATCCAGTCCCCACCATTGTGTGGCTCCAGAATAATCAGCCCCTGATTTTAGAGAGCAACAGCGGATTTGCCATCAGCAGTAGGAATCTGTCAGAAACTAGGTAAGCTACCTATTGTCAGAAATGCTCTAGCACAGTCAATTTAAATCAACCTCTGGATTCTCTGCCATCCAGACATTTGTATTTTCTACCTGTGATTTCAGGATTAAGCAGTTTGCCATTTTAATTTGCATATATTTAAATGAAAATAGACATGCAAATACATGGTTGTCATGGTTTTGTATTCATCCCCACCCCCACCCCTTGAAGCAGAGGATGGAGGAAGCTCTAGCCTGTTGGATACTAGACAGCTGTTCACAAGAAAGTCATTTTACTAATTCCAGTATGACAAACCCCTGTATCTCCCCACACTGTCTGGCAGATTTTTCCTGCTAAGTCTTCAGTTCCTCCCAGTGACTGAGTTGCCCTATAGTATATATTCTTCATCATAAAAGACTTGACTGTCCCATCCTGTGCTGTTCTGTAGCTTTTCTGTCTGAGAAACTAAGTTATCCCTCGGAGCAATATTAATATATCTAAGACAATGGGGTTTCTCTTCTTCTCTTTGTAGAAGTACTTTTCTGTCTATTGCTTGTCAGAAAACACTGACTCCCAGGTTCTGATCACACAGAGAATTAGCCGTGTGATAGACACAAATGCCGGGCAGATTTTATGGGCGCGATCACACAGGAACATCTGGCAAGCATCCCGCACCCATCGCCAACCCATTTCGCTCCGCCGAAGAAGCGGAGTTTAAAAATACCGGGGAAAGTGCAGTATCAAATGGGTTTGTGGCGGGCCGCAGATGGACTTCCCCGTGTGATCGTCCAGCATGCTCCCATTGTGTCAGTGATCCCTCATTGAAGCGCACCGGAAACACACAGTGAAGGAAAAACCCCGATTCACCCGTCGCTGCATCTGATCAGACAGTGGTGGGTCAAATTACTATGGAGCAAATAGCCTCACTCCCCCCCCCCACGTTATCTGGCATGTGTGACCGCACTCCCAATGTCTTTTCCCTCAGAAGCCACACCCACTGGCTACTGATCCCTTTGTTTTCAATTTGATTTGTTTTCAAAAGACCAAAAGGCAAACAATCCCTTTTCCCTCCAGATCAGCTGTTTTATTTTCTCTCTCAGCTGATGCTCGCCAATCAGAGAGTGATCAGAGCAGCCAATCACCTGAGCTCTTTTCTCCAGGGTAGATTAACACTTTAATTTCCTGTCTCTCTGATACAAGCCACATTTTAGAAAGCTCACTTTTCTGTGCAGTCCATTACATCCACATACAAAACTCCTTTGCAGTTTCTGCATGGATGCTAGGCAGAAATAGCAGCATCATTACCTACAGCAAGCAAAATTCCGAATTTGGTGCTTGGTGACAGGGCAAAACTCTGAATAAGTGGGACATAGAAAGCAAAGGGGTCTGTTAAGTACCAGGCTTCACCAGGTATATTTTGCTAAAGAACTCATTTAGGATGTAGAAGGTTGAGCTGGACATATTACAGAATCCAAGTTTTAAATACTAAAAATTGAAATCACAGGGTCACTAATTCATGCAGAGCCCATTTCAATCATCAGTTTGCCAGAATGTCTTCAGATTCCTCAGGGTCCTTGGAGTAAAGAATACAACCCCTCACCCTACAGATGGTGATGCACATTCACCCCAATCCAGCAATTCATCTGTGTGGGAAAGCACTAGCATGCCTCAGTGCATGGATCTTCTTGCTGAATTGGATTCCACATGTACAATAATGCACCCAAGGCTAAACATGTGGATCATTTTGTTGGGTCTTTATTCGGCTCTAAGAGATGATTGGAACAACCAGCTTTGGCTATACTGATCACCAGTTTAGGGAATGAATCTAGGTCCTCTCCCTCCCTCTTGACTATATTTTACATTGTCCTTGGTGTTCCCCCCTCCCAATGTTTTAAGGCCATTAATCTATCAGGAGGCTGATAGTGTCAGAGATGTCTTTGCCAGACTCCTGGTCTGCTGCATGACATGTGTGGATAAGTAAATCGTGGCCAGTGTACTTGTGTGTTCTTATAGACATGTATAGAAGGCTCCAGCAAATTACGAGTACTAAATGAGTATAATATAAGAAGTGTGTTTCTGAAGTAATGTGTTTTCCCTTGGATTCAGGCTGTGGTGCAGGGTGGTAGTAGTGGTGGTAATCTTTTCCTTCATGATGTTTTCTCAGTAGGCTCAAAGCACAGAACCTTCAAGGTCCTATTTGCCCTGATAAGGAAAAAGACTGGCACCTGTATTGTACCTCTCTTTTTTTCTCTATTGGGGCTAATGGCAATTAGGGTGCTAGTTTCTATTGGCAGCTGCTTTTTAAAAAATCATCAGGAAATTTGATCATGCATCAATTCAGCTCTAAATGTCCTCCAGAATGGAACAGTTTCTATACTTCTGCCAGAGCTATCCTTCTTGTCCAACTTCTTAATTATTGTAAGGTTCTCTGTCCTGCAGATATCAAACTACCCTATTCCTCATAAGGGTGAAACCGAGTGAGGGAGGCTTATACACTGTCCGAGCATTCAATGAAGATGACTCGCAGGAGATGTCGTTCTATTTGCAGATTAATGGTGAGCACATCTTTTTTCCAACTTCTTAATTATTGTAAGGTTCTCTGTCCTGCAGATATCAAACTACCCTATTCCTCATAAGGGTGAAACCGAGTGAGGGAGGCTTATACACTGTCCGAGCATTCAATGAAGATGACTCGCAGGAGATGTCGTTCTATTTGCAGATTAATGGTGAGCACATCTTTTGGGTTTGGTTTTTGTAAAATCTTATCTTGTACAGAAGAACTTATCTAAATTTAACCTTGTGTAGCATTAGCAGTACATATACTTAGTATTTGTGCTGAGCCCTTTGTAGGTACTACAAAGCTAATACTCCATGCAAATATGCCAGGACATAGGCTGAGTGTAATTAAACTTGACTGGGCATATATAGAATATTTATATGAATAAACATTTTAACTTTACCTGTGATCAACCTTTTCTTTTCTTTTCTTTTTTCTTCTGATATGACTGCTTGGGCAGGCACTCTGAAGGTGAATTTTGCTTTTTAATAGTCCTTTTGTAACATTTCCCTTGGCATACTCAAATCTTCATGTACTACTTCCCATCTCCATGATCTTTCCCGCTTGAGCTACCAGAAGGCTTTGAGG